TAAAGTACATTAATGCTAAGATGTCCAATAAAATATTTTCCATTTAAAGAATTAAATTGATACATCACTACATAGTATAAAACAAAGTCGTCCCGCATTCTATCTGTCCCTTTATGCTTAGATCTTTAAAACTACGCAACGGATCTTGATGCGGTTTTTTTACTAGATAGAGTGATTCAAGAGGAGGGTTTATATGTATAATACATTGCATCCGTGCGAAGCCGAGGCGGGCCGCTAGTTTATAATAAATGTTAAAATTTGTAGAAAAAAACGTGAAAAGTTTTTCGCCGCCGCGGCAATCGAGCCCACGTCTTCCTGATACGCGCCCAGACGCCTTAACCACTAAGCTAAACCGGCCGATTGCCACACCGAAGAAAATCTCGACGTCTTTCATCTACACTTTTACGTGCAGCTTTCAAAAGTAACATCGAAAATTCCGTTGGATCAACTCGATTCAGTGAAAGTGGAATGTTCGAGTTGTTATTCATATTCCGATAGCGGCCAATGAAGCCGACTGTTTATATTTCAATATTAATTATTTACCGCTACTTGCCGTAAGTAGTTATTTTTACTTTATCGCAGAAACGCATCGTCATTAATACCAATTAATTCACCCACACACAATTTTATAATAACAACGGATAACAAACAAGATCGCAAGATTCGCGAAGACACAATCGCAACATTGCAAAATTAAGCAAATAATTATTTTCACACGATTTTAAGAAACTAAGAATTAGTCTTATAGTGTAATAATTAGTCTTATTAAACGAGTCACAGGACAAGTTCGCGTATCCTATCGCAAAGATTGACAAAAACAATCTCGAAATAATGTTTATTCCTAAAATATTAATACTACCAAATATCTAAATTGTTTTCTTTCCATAAATTAATTTTTTACTTAGGGACGTCAAAAAAGCAGATCTCGCAATGTTCCGGTATACCCATGGGCGGCGGTGATTAGGTCAGCATAAAAATCAACCGACAACGGAGCGTAGAAAAATAAAACAATATTTTGTGGAGAAAAACTTGTAGTTTGCCGATACCCACTTGAGTTTGCTCCTTGTAAAGGATGCTATAGAACGGCAATAAATACCGAGAGTTTATGATTGCCGATATGAAAAATCATAATGCCTATTGTTATGCTACTTTCATGAAGAGTTCTTTAGAACCGATGCTGAGACTGCTTTGATCGTAATTGGTAAATAAGTCATATTGCACAACTCAGTTTATTTTTTTTTTGTCAAAACTGTTATAGTCGGCAAGCGTAGGATTCCTGTCGAGCGACCTAGCCTATAAACAAACTGGGTATTATAACGGTCTGTAGATGATTCTAGATCTAGAACAATGCTAAATATATAGGTTACAGCAGTCACGTCGTGGTTCAAAGTTTTCTGTTAGGTAGAGAATCAATCAGGATTGTTATATGCATAGGCGTCATTTCTTCTGATAACCTGTAATAAAGATTGAGTGCAAATAAAAATGTCTCATTATCAATCCGACTGTCGCAATGCATACAGATTTATTGGAATGAACTAAAATATAAATCAAAATGACATTATCAATCGACATAGTGATCGTATCGTATTTCCCCCCTATGTATCACAAAGATACATTAAAAGCTTTTGTTATTTATGTTACGTTGTTGACGTCTATGTGTAATTTCTTTCGCATAAAAACAGCCAATGGTAATATCATCTAGTCTAGACGAGAGCACAGGAGATAAATTACCCGTCATCCGTTTTAAAATTTCAGGCTCGTGTTTTTTTTTTCGCGTGAAATGTTGAAAAGCGAGCTGGCCGTTCCTGATGTTAGTGATCACCCATGGACATCTGCAACACCTAAGAGGTGTTAGATGCATAACCGAAAGGTGTTTTAAAAGGTTATCCAAAGGCTTTGGTTACTTCACTCACCAGTCAAGACTGCACGCCGGTCTTTTGTGTCCCCTGTCTTCTGTGAGGCCTTCGCCGAATGATCCTGCTCGTTTGTGCAAAAGTTGAAGTTCTGCGTGGCCGTACCACAGTAGACCAAATTGATAGTTTCATACTTTAATGAATTATGATAACTCAATAAGCGTGTAGGATGAAATAGTCCTCTTCAAAAACTTTAAATAGTCGTAATAGTCCAAGTGAAAGTAATTTAACGTAGTAATTGCGTAGAACTTTGGTTGTTTGTTCAGAAAATTAAACGAGTCAATATCCGTGTTCGTAATTTATTTTAGAGACAAAATGCAGCTCTCTTTCTTTTCTCCGTTGCGCGGTCGAGATAATGCTATGTGCAGATTCGGCAGTATGACGTCACCGCGCAAATACCGGTCTCACAATGATAGCAGAATACAAACAGACGGACAGATCTGCGCGATATATAATGTTGATAGTCAGATAAGATTTTTGGACTCGCAAATAATTGGCGTAATATCATTTATTGGATAGTGCTTAATGCTTTAGTAATAGTTGCTGTCGTACCTCAGAATTAGTTCTTTTCGTGGTTTGAATATTTTAAACTCTTTGGACGGTCATTAGTTAAAACGAAACAATGTTCGGCCAATCACTATATTACGAATCCGTTGTATGGTGATAGGTGTATTCCCAAGGCGGGTTTATTTACGTTATATTAAATTACCATTTTATGGCAGTGAAAACATATTTACGTTATATTAAAGTCCACTTAAAAGAGCCTGGAGCGATCAATTCCTTGCCAGAGTGTCTTATCATTTAAATAATCACTACTTTTATAATAGTCGAAATATGATCAGCTGAATTTAATTAACTTTTTAATCTTCGAGTATAAATAAAGTATGGCTTATTTACTTTTATCGCCTTACCGAAACCGAAACGTCAATCTTTAATTCTCGCGCGCGATAAAAATTCGACACCGGCAGAAAGCTTACGACCGTTGCCCGTCTATGGGAAAAAGTGAAGGACGATATCTCGCGCAACACTAATTATCTGAAGAAGTGAAATGCACACGGCGTGTTTACTCGAACGCCTCCATATTGGGTCCGCGTTCGGAATTTGAATAATCGGAGCGGTTACGGGTACCGGTCGCTGGTGAGTTGGTGACCATTCCACCGTCCGCCGCCAGTGAAAGTGGTATGCGACAAGGCAAGTGTTCTCGGTCACCGTCGCGAGTGCGACTGTATCGTGTTCGTGCGTGGCGCGTGTCTCGATATTTTCTTTTCTTTTTTAGTTTTTAATCTGTAAAGGCTGTCGCTATATACATCTGTGTTAAAGCGCGAGGAACAGGGGGAATACAGGAATTGGTAGGTAATTATCGTATACGGTTAATTAACCGGTGACGTTTAAAAGTTTCGTTGTCAATAATTCACTCACGATGTAATGCCGTATTATACTCCAAGGTAACTAACAATGTTTGTTAAATATTAGTTGATTTTGTAATTAAATAAGTTTGTATAACGATACATTAAAAAAATAAGAGATAGAGAACAAGACCCAGAGATTCTTGCCGGTTCTTCTCTGGCTAGGTCTTGTTCAGTGAACCGGTGGTAGGTTTTTTTTGACGTTCAATAAGAGAATTTTTCAATTTGCCTATTGCGATGAATAGTAGAGCTTTAATTGCTATTATATTTCCAATAATCTATCAATCAATGAAACAATGAAATATAATGATTTCCACAAATATGCATGTCAAAATATCCAAATATCGAACGGTTAATAAGTTACTCTTAGATATTTAATCGAACGCTTAATGTAACCAGATCAAGCCGAGGTTGACTGCGCAATTAATAGGCTAGTGAACCTTTAGCATTTACTATTACCAGTCATAAAAATGTATTAGTTTGTAAATAATACTTCAAATAATTTTACAACAGCAACTTTTTTTTACTTACGCGTATACTGATCAATATAATTATGCAAAGACTTCATATATTTGGAAAAAAAGGAAAGTTCCTCAAACTTGAATCGACTGACGACATGGTTGGTGCAGTTGAACCGCGATAGACTCTGTACAGTGTAGTGGGTTTGATTCCTAGTAATATATGGGGGCATTAAATTTATTCGCACTTAGGATGTTTATGTTTACTTATGTATAATTTGTGCGAAACATTAAACTGCACAGCAGGATGCATTTACGTTCTACATACGCTTAATAGACTGGTATGTTTCATTAAATTAAAAAAAAATACAACAGAATAGAAGTTATTGAACGACAACACTCATTCCCGATGTTTCGCGAACTCCATATGCGACTGATGGACTGTCTATTCTGTCACTATGAGTGTGTTAAAGGGTTTTTTTTTATGTGGGAAGGTGAAAAGCGAGCTTATACTCTTCAAATTGATATCTCCCCCCGCTATGGCTTTTAATAATTTGGGCCTCTGATGAGTGTGACCAGACGAAACGCAGAAGTATTATTTATACACTTCATTTCGGTTCTGCGAGATCGTGGTACTGCTCCGCACGGACTTGCCCATTTGTGAACAACTAAAACTGTAGCGTGTCCCTACCAAAAAAGCCGGGCAACGTTTTTATTAAAAAAAAAGTGTATGTGTACTTATGTACGCACGTAAGAAGTTATATTTCATTACCGTAACAAAAGAAAAATAACAAAAAACTTTATCCAGTTCGTTAGTGAAAAGTAGGTACATTAAATGCAATTGATAACGGTTGAAGTATAAAGAATTTATTTAAATAACGATTTAATCAAATATATTGGGATTGTAAGTAAATGTCAACAAGTTTTTATTGGTTATATGACATAACCATGGGGATACCAAGAAGTTGGTCGAAGCTTTCCAACCAACCTCATCATGTCGCTTTTTGGCCGTTAATGTGCGCGCGCATCTTTGATTATATACTTGTATATTACATTAAATATACAACAAGTATATAATCAAAGGCGCGTATTATAAAAATTGTATCCTCATATTTTTTTCTAAAATTATAACTTCAAAAACCTATCCAGCGACTTCAAAGTCGATCCACAGGAATTCCCATCGAGCTAAACTTTCACCTTATACGTGTGTTTTGTCGTTGCAGCACTCAAGGCGCCATGATAACGGCGGTGAATGACTTTCTAGATGACCTGCGGTGAGTCAGCCGGCATGCCGCTTGCAGATAACCGCCGCTAACCGCGCTTCTAACAGTCGCTTAACTAACTTAACTTAAATCACTAACAACTTGCTTTAAGAATGACACTGTTGCTATACTGTTTTGGCTCGCTGAGAAAATCTCCTATAAACCGATCTTTCATTTATTTCTTAATATAACTATTTCACTTTAAGAAGTTTCTAAAAGTGCATTAAAATTATGAGCAGAAATTATCGCATTAATTGATACTAGTTTACGGATTTTATCGCGTTTTTTATTTTGATTTGAACTCCCAAAAAAAAAGTCCGATAAAATCCGTAAACTAGTTTCATATAATATGTAAAATATTCGCGTAAAATCAAGAAAAGAAATTATTGTGTTAAATTCGACGCCTTTAATTGAATTAAATCTGTTTATGCCGGAATCGTTAATCGTCAGCTATTTTTGCTTAAAATTCAGACACGTCAAACCACCGCGGAAGTATGCCTCCGTACTTTCGCGGTGGTTTACATATTATAAAAAATGAACTTCACTTCAAAAATATTACGCAAAAACCTCCTCCTTTTTGAAGTCGGCTATAAACATCATTATTTTATATTGATATGCAGTCCGAATAACGACTGAACATGATATAGTCAAATTAGCGTCCATTACACATCACTTTGGTATAATGACACCTTGCAAAGCGTCTATAATGCAGAGAGTGTGTATTCATCGGTGTATTGTGAACATAATTCGCGTCATTAGTAAGCGTACGGCGGTGTGGCCTTCCTTAGGCGGCCGCGCTACCATAACACCGGCCTTCGGGTCATTGTCGAATTGTTCCTTGGTTAGGTTTCAGCGTTTAATATATTCGACATTGAGTCCGCAGGCCGAACTTCTTTTTTTTATTGTGAGCTGGGGGCACACCTGATGTAAAGTGATAACCGCCGCCCATTGGCATTTGCAACATCCGTAAGGTTGCAGATGCATTGCAACCTTTTAATGCAGTGGCACCGGCTACCTCACTCACCAGACGAAACGCAACGACGATAAGATTTATAGCACTTCCACAACACGCCGGTCTTTTGTGAGGTAGTTAGTGTCCTATATTTAGGATCTACTTATCATTTCGTTTTAGCTCGTCCGTACAATGCTGCACAATTTTTTTGCGTGATACCTATCCACTTGCGTTTTATATTCTGTTCTTCTTTCCGTTTCAGTATCTGTATTGTTATTTGATATATAGACGCCAAAACTGTATAACTTTAACAAAATGTATATTATGTACCGCTCGCGGTAAGTTAGTATTTTGATTTTATTTTATAAACATAGACATCGGCTAAACCCGAGGGTTGCAGATGCGTTGACAACCTTTTGAAAATTGGGCTCCAGGCACTTCACCCACCAGACGAAACGCGAAAGTATTTTACTTCCACTTCACGCCGGTCTTCTGTGATTCGTGCAACAGGCCGAGGCTGCTGCGTGGTCCTACCACCGTTCTGATGGTCTATCCGTTCGTAGGATGCTTCTATTTTCTGTGACGTAGTCCAAACTGAATTATTTGTAAGAGTACGGTTTTATACGCGTTGTTGTAAGGTTCGATATTTGCGGGATTATCTAAGATTTCTTCCCGCGTGTATATTCCCAAGACGAGGTGTCATTTCATAAACTGGGCAGTAATATAAGAGCAATTATTTTTCTATACTATACTCCCATACATCTTCGGGAAACCATATAAGCACTTAATCCGAGTTCAAAGCCCACTGCCGGCGCAAACGATATTTATCAATTGCAATTTTAAGCGCTGATTCATCATGTGCTCAGCGGCGATGGATAAACCCTGCATATTTTTTTAGAGAAAAAAAAATTTGGAGATATCCGAAACTTTTGCACAGAGGGCAGGAACCTATATGGACCATTTCTTTTACTGAGTTTCAAACCCGCGGCCTGCAAGCGATAAGATGGCCCCCTTTACTGAGCCTCCACTCACTATACGTTATTTTATAATAATTATTAATATGAACTAAAAATTTAGATGCAAACGAACTGTGTTAACGTGTTGTTTCGCTCTTCTATTAAAAATTTGATGAACATTTAAATTAAAAATATATATCAATAATCAAAAATATTTGATGGAATAACATGTTAAAATTAAATAAGGGTTATTTTTGTATTTAAGATGTTTTATTTGTTGTTTTTAATGTAGAACGCCGTGTTCACTTTTTTAGAATGTGCATATATATATTTGTATTTCAATATTAGTTTTAATAATTTAGTATTTATTAAATGTATCATTCAGTTTGTGGACCAAATAAAAAAAAGTCCCGTTGGGTTAACGACCGCGAAAATACTAGGCATCTTTGCCGAAATAGTTGTTTTTACTTATCTTTTTCCAATTTATTTCCAATATACATACAATTTATTAACACCTATCGCATGTCATTAAACAAATAGAAATATATGATAATATTTATTCGGCTCACACGACTAGTCATTTTATTAAAAAAAATCACTGGGTTCAACGCCGTTCATCTTACTCAGAAAAAAAATATGCGTAGAATTAACCATGTTCTTGTTTTACTTCAAACATCATTTCCAATATTAACAAAAAAGGATTCATTTGATCATTATATAAAGGGTTCACCTTGAAGCTGCACAGAATATCGCCAGTATCTATTCGTAGGAAGGGGAAATTTACACAACCCATCATGTCACGACTCCAAAATACGTTAATTGACTGCGTACTCTAAAGGTGAGTACAGACCGGAGCTACGAAGCGTAATGTGCCATTCGCAGCGAACATGTTACGTTGCGCCGTGTGTTAGAAACCGTGTAACTAGCTCGTTTCGAACTCTATTCATCCGTTGTCCAAATTCGCAAGCCTCAGTCTATGTTGTTGGATGATGAAGTCGTGATGGTGATGGTCTTCACCGTTATCTTTAATTTTACTCAATAATTATTTTTTAGTCCAAATTCAGAAGAAAAAGAAACCAAATTTGTTTAAAACCAGATTCAGATATGCAAGCTTCTCTCAGTATATTGTTTAAAAACGGAAATGTATCCGGTGGTTCGTCGTTAGTAAAAATACAAAAAAAAAGAACAAATTATTCCTTCACCACGTGCGCTCGTGAATGATTGAAACGAGGAACACTACACTCAAAGTATTCGACAAAAAATGGAGGAGTGTAGAACTAACAGCGAGCAACGAGCGACTCGTCGACTCGACTTCACTAACGCTGGCTACGTGACACGTTACCTTACGCCTCGTTACACCGGTCTGTACCCACCTTTAGGAGTTTTTTTAGTGCGTAAACCGCTCTTACGCGGTACTAACCGTATCTGAGCATACTCTGTTCTTTCCGTTTGAATCTTTTTTTTAACAAATCTCCGTGAATAACTCGCGTGCCGCTTTTGTTTTCGTGAAGTTTTTTATGGCAAGGAGTCTGGAGGAGTTGATCGTTTTAAAAAGAACCGCCTTAAGGTACCTCCTGGCGAGGGAATCCCGTCTTCTGGCGCTGGGCAAGAAACCAGTCAATAAGAAGATCGCGAATTTCGTGAAATCCGATGGCTCCGGAGTATGGGGTGATTTTTTGGACACGTTCAGCGAGGACCTCACGAGGAATTTAAACGTCTACCAAATGAGGTTCATTGAAGACGTAAGCGGCCGCAGCTCTGAGAGAAGATTCCCGTTTAGTGACGATTCTATTGATGTGTTTAAACATCGCAGAATGCATTTATGGTGAGAGGATTTTAACTTTAGTTTCGATTTCCCGTCATTTGGATTCAGTCTATTCAATGTTTTTTCCGTTACAATGATGAGTATTGTTCAGCGTGTTTGTCTCCCTAGTAGGCACAGATTCAAAACTAACGTCTCATTTTAGTTATTAACATAAATAATCGTTTAATTTAACTGTCAATTCGTAAAAGTTAGTTTCAATGTCTGACTATTATTTTAAAGATCATCTGCCATAAAACTTTAAGATTCATACATAGTTGTCTGTAATACTTAACGCAGTTTTTCCATTAAAGACAAACATATTTTTTTCAAGATAAATATCTTAATTCCTCTTAAGGATGGTTAAACTCTTTAAACTGATCATTAAGAAGATCATTCTGGCCAATTCACAGAGTTTAACCATCCTTTTGGCATTTCAAATGAAATTTGAAAAGCCATTTGACAACTGATTAGTTGACATATACGATGATCAGTGTTTCAGAAACCGGGCGTTAGCATGCCGGTCACTTGACCAATCAGACTTTGCTTAGCTCTTTATCCACTGTATGCCAAGAACGAATCGATCTCCTGAATGCGCCACTCGTAAATTTTAAGGATTACGTCATCGCCGAGAGGCTGTGAACGCGATAAGAAGTACGTATCTGAAAAATAAATCGGTCGATAATAAAATGTTTTCACGTCGCTTGTTAAAAATATTCGCTTGTTACGATGATTTTTAGGGTTCCGTACCCAAAGGGTAAAACGGGACCCCATTACTAAGACTCCGCTGTCATTAGGCTGTATCTCATGAACCGTGGTACTTACAAAGTTGAAATTTTCACAGATGATGACTGTATTTCTGTTACCGCTATAACAAAAAATACTAAAAAAACAGAATAACATGAAAAATGTTAAGGGGAGCTCCCATACAACAGACATTATTTTTTTGCCGTTTTTATAGATAACGGTAGCTAACTCTTCGTGTGCGAGTCCGACTCGCACTTGGCCGCTTTTTTGGTATGCAAGAGTAGATATGATTCATGATCTCTCAAACGCTTATGAATAATTGTAATGCGTCAATGGAACTTAATTTTCTAGTCTCGGTAGCTACGTGTCCGTGTGTGTCTTCCTTTACTATGTTGCTAAGCTATAAACTCGAAGGTCCTTCTCTACCTACCCATTGTGGCTTAGAAGACGTGGGAGTTTAAAACAGTAATCATACAAACACTATCTTTCCTTCGCGCACAAAAATGATAACTTTGCCATACTTGCGGAGGTGACTGAGTAAACATCCAACAGATAAACGGGCCGATGCTAGTTGTCGTATCACGAGCGATAAAATGTTAATGTCAGAATCGGTCGTTTTGTCCGTCCGCTGCATATAAAACTTTGATGAGGGGAAATTTCAATTAGGAAATTCTATTTTTGCAAGAAACTTTGACAATAAGATATCAAGTATATTAACATATAGCAATAGATCTCGTGCCTTTGGCTAGCACTCGAGGACCCCATTGCCTTATCAGACGTAACGCAAAACTTAATAATTCTACTTCAGCCGGTTTCTGTGAGGTTTTGGTATCTTTCCTAGCCGGGTAGCCAATGGAGCAGCAAATGTAGTTGGAGCTCTCGGCCTATGCAAATGCGGCTTTGAGCTGTATCACACTCAATGACACATTGTCGTCTGAGGCATTACAGCCTCGGGTGGGCCTTAGCCTGGCCAAGCAAATCTCCAGTCCAATCTATTCACGACTTTCTTTCTCCTGCCTATCACCCCCAAGATTTTTGTGTCTTGAGCTCGGGCCTACCTCTACCCCTGCGGCCCTCCAGAAGGCTTTTGGGTACTCTGGCCTCGTCCGTTCGCCCCACGTGTCCTGCCCATCGCAGGCGTCCGATCTTTATGGAACTAATAACGTTTGGCTCATCATATATTTGGTCCATCTTGTGATTATATCGCAAATATACGCTGTGATGTTGTAAAATGCACATTCATAATTCTCATCACATACGCGCATGCTCGCTAGTAACTACTTTTTTAATGTGGGAGAGTGACAAAAAGGGGGACATTCGCAACACCCGCTGAGTTGCTGATGCGTTGCCACCTTCAAATAAACCAGCTACTTCCCTCACCAGACAAAAGGCTGAAGTGTAAGACTTCAACTTCACGTCAGTCTTCTGTGGGGTCCGATGGACCTCACCAGTCGTGCAACAGCGAACGCTGTTCCTTCTACCACAGTCGAAAGTGGTATTAAATTTTAATATTGTATCATTACCATTTTATACTAACGTCTTTTCGTTTGTACTTATTAATAATAATTTGTAATAAATATAATATGGCCAAAGATAAATCAATACATTTTACAATTAAATTGTATCTAGGTTGATATAAAATCATTTATTGTTTATTATTACCGGTCGTTAAATCATTATCTAAATATAAAGCCACATTCAGACTTTTCAATACGTTTTATTCAAAAAATATTTTAATTAAGTATAAGTTATTTAAAAATATATTATTTATAGTATGAGTAAGTTTCTTACATGAATTTACATATTACTCTACATATTACTCTTTATACGTTTGATTTTTTTTTTTCTGATTATACTTTAAATGTTTGCAATTTGTGAATATGTACTTAGTCTTATACTCGGACAAATTAATTGACACAGGGGAATGTAATCGTGGGGTATTTAAAACTTTGGAACTTCCGATGAGGTCATCGAATTCCGAAATTAAAAGTCATCGCGAAGCGGTCTGTTGTCGCACTTTACATAAAAGTATTATTAGACTCTTTCATTCCGTCAATAGTAACCAATTGTTTAACTAACTTACCTATACCTATAACCGTCCTAGAGAAACCGAGCTCTATTTAATAGCTAGATTTTCACGTACATGAAACCTGAAATCTAAATTTTGGCACTAAGTTTATAACTATTCAGAGTGTAAATAAAAATATTAGTAAAATTATTAGTGAGTATAATTAAAAAAATATTTGATATATAGTCATACACGTCTTAAAGAAATGATGACAATGCAAAAATTAATTATGTTCAGCGCACTGAGATCGCAATTCACCTTAAATCAGTGTTAGAATCTTTTTTTATTATTATTAGCTCCTCTTATATAAGTTATAAAATTAATGTTAAAAACTATAGTCTTATATTGGGGGAATTTTGCGTTTATCTTTGATCATTAAGTCCATAACTCATTTTTCACAACTCATCTTGAAATCTTTATTCGATAGCTTCTCACATAGTTGCATTTAACAATGTGCAGCGTTCGCGTTAATACAAGGCACCGTTATTCGTACTTACTCGACGGGGAATGCCAAGTTGCCAATACGTGTTTTGCAGTTTCCTAAACTGAACCTAATCATTTGGTCAACAAGAGAGACTGAAGAGATCAATACCTGAGTGCCATTGCGAAAGATCGAAGCGCTATATCAATAGCTAATCTTATCGCTGCGGTATCACTGTGTACCAATCGATTTATAGTACGGATCGTGGTGTTGCGGTTCTAGCTCGTGGTTTTGTGAGGAATTTCGGGTACGGTCTGCAGTATCGGTGAGTTTCAACAACGTGTAACTGAAAACACGCAAGTATATAGACGGTACTACTTTTTCATGCCGTCAGTTTCCCTCAGTCGTTTTTCGTTACACACTTAGAAACTGTCACTACATTTTAGAAAACAAAAGTCCTAACGCCGTCTCTATGTCCGTCCGGGCGCGTTAAACTCAAGAAGTACTGAACTCATTCTCACACACTTATCAAGAGACGGATTGATTCATGGGGAAAGTTAAGTCGTATAATTCATTACGGTTTTGTGTGGGATAGCCGCAATATGATTGTGGAAGATGTGGTACAACTCGGCGGGTAGCGAAAATACCTGTAGGCTTATTAGCCATGTCAAGGAGGGGCTTAATTAAATTTACTATTAGAATAAGTACTTTTACAGACATAATATACTATAAGTTAAGAAGTATCATTACAAGTTTAAGACGTAATGCGATAGGGAAATTAAACTGTTTAAAGACAGTCTTACTTAGAGCATTTAAGTTTATCTACTTGAATGAAGTCATATCTTCCAAGTTTAATAATGATTCTAAAATGTGGTCACATATTTATTCACTTCATATAACTTCCTGGCTACCTATTCCATTTTCAAATAGTGCAAAATTCCCCAAAGTTTGGCACTGAACCAGTTTACGTTCAATTTATCTTACCTTCGGTCTCAAAGTTGAGAGGAAAAAGGAAATGTATTTCAGCGGAGGAAATTCGCCGCATATTGGCTCAAAATATGCAGTTGCGTAATAATTTGGCATGGTTTAAGGATTTATTACCTCGCGGATGCGATTGAGACAACTTTTACGTACAACCCTACGGGCCAAGAAATCTGTATACTAGCGACCCGCCGAAAATTATACATATAAACCTCCCTCTTGATTCACCCCATCTACTAAAAAAACCGCAACAAGATCCGTTGCGTACTTTAAAGGATCTAAGCATACATACGGACAGACAGCGGGACGACTTAGTTTTATTTATACTATGTAGTCATGAAGTTGATAATCCATTCACATATCACGAACGAGGGTAATACACGAGTATATATTACGCTAATCATAGCTTCTCTTCTTTACCTTACCATGTCCCGTACGTTTGTCCTGCGGTGTAATGGCCTCGTTTTTGAATTACGACCGTTTTTTCCGACCCTTTGTATCAATTACCCGCGGAAATCACTACACAGTGAACCCGAATTCCGGTGACAAGGACCGTCTTCCACGAATAGGCAAAGCATAGCTTTAGCTTCGCCTGTGTAGGAACTCCATTAATTGAAAAGACGAAAGCTGTTTATGGTATGTTTATAGCGCAAAAATGTTATTACAACCATGTTACAAATTAACAATTCCATTTGAGCCGGCACCGGGGATTGAACTCTGGTTGCTCGAGTATATTTAATTAATAGCGAGCGCCCGACCATGACCCAATACGGAGCATGAGCTCTTAAAGTGCTGACTTATCACGTGCTCAGCGGTGAGGGAAAACATCGTGAGGAAACCTGCATTATTTTACCACTTCACTCCAGGATGGGCAACCCGTAGAGGGTTGTGTGGTGATCCCCAATAGCCACTGTACTTACTCAGACGGACCTGCACATTAGTGCAACAGCCGAAGCTATTTCGTGGCCCTACCACATTTAATACATACAAACAACTACAAATATCTGCATCATTTGGTCGTTACAAAAGTCACGAATGTTTACTATTTACTTATACTTGTTTCGATTGCACTCAACCGAGTTTATTTAGTTACGCGGCCGTCATTGTTTGATGTTATAAACGATATACGGGCACAATGTGCCAAGTTGGCACTGCGACATGAATATAAATTATAAAATACATTGCAATATAATGCAAAGGCTTATAAAATCTTGCAAATAGTGTGGCTACTCGACGGAAAGGGGCAATATCGTTCTTCTCATGTGCTCTCGAAATTTGAAGCTTCGAAGTCTGCGATGGACTAGTGAATGGGAAGTGCGACTTGGATGTTACGGTTTCGAATACCAATCCCATAACGATTACAGCCCGTTATTGATATGCGAAATAATCACTTTCTCACATTTCTCGTCTGATGAGCGGCGTTTATGCTTATCACTTGTTAAATTTAGAATTTAATTATTTAGTGGCACTTTATTTTACGGTTACTTATTTTATTGTTGTTAAACATTGATGGGAGTTACGCCCAGTTTCTGAAACAATGATCATGGTATAAAATTAACTAATTGGCTGTCAAATGGCTTTCCAAATGTTATTTGAGTTGCCAAAAGGATTGTTAAACTCTCTGAATTGATTACAATGATCCTCTTAATAATCAGCATGCTCAATTCAAAGAGTTCATTCATTTTACTTATTTGGTAACTCAAATAACATTTGAAAATCCTTTTGACAGCTGGTTAGTTGGCTTCTACGACGATCAGGGTTTCAGTAACCGGGCGTTAGTAGTTCGTATTGACACAGCTGTCATCTACGACCTGTACTGAATTGCCAATATGTTGCAAATTTCGCAAGACATTTTATAGCTGGTGCCGGTGCCACAGCTTTCCCCAGACCTAGAAGTCCGTTGTACTTGCTTAGACGTGCTCATGCTATTACAGAAGCAGCTGTTTGGCCCTACCACAATCTATTGTTTATCGTTACTCGTCATTGAATATCTGCCCACCTACTAATTATTGTTAGGCACAACGCACATTCTTACTTTAATCCTATTTTCCTATTAAGCGGCATAATCTATTGTGAGAGACATTCTATTCAGATTACATAAACTACATAGCAATTAATCAAAGTAAATAATGCTATTGTTAAGTACAAAATGCTCATTATATTAACACGATGTGCTATTGTCGAATATGTTAAATATTCTCAATTTCCTTTAAGTATGTGATTTCTATAATCTTATAAAAAGAAAAAAAATATCGTCTTCTGCGATGATTGAAAAGAGTTGGTCTATAAACAATTTTTTAATTATGAATTTAGGACAATATTCTATTATAAAAATATGCTAAAAGCTTGTTCGCCCCGACTTCTCGATATTGAATCATAATTACGTTCTTTTTCACATATTTAAATTGTCAACTTGATAACAGTGTAGGGGCCGCGCAACAGTCTTTGCTGTTGCACGAATGGGCAGGCTTGAACGGGGAAGTACCACCAAATACCACCTCAAAAAAGACCGACTTGAAGGGGAAGTATTACTTTCGCGTTTCGTCTGGTGAGTGAGGTAAACGGGGCCCGCTTTATAAAGGTGGCAACCCGTCAGGTGTTGTAGACGTGGCGGCGATTATCACTTAACATCAGGTGAACCGCCAGCTCGCTTGCCAAATTCTCACATAAAAAAAGTCTAGTAAAACGCCTACTACTCGCAACTTTCATTTACAATTCTTAGCTAATCCAGTGATTCAGTGATTTAGCATCGAATCCGATATGCTTATTAACCTTATCTAAGATATTCGATAAGAATGGATTTAATTTTTATGGCAAATTTTTATCGGCCCGTATGTTTGTGCGTACATTACGAAGATTGACTTACAACAATGCGTGATACAGTCGCGATAAGGTCGTATCGAAACCGCATGACGCCCGAACTTGTCGTGTATAGGCTCGAAAATGGATTTCCGGTGTGATCTAAGCGATTACTATACGATTCTCGTTGGTTTCACAATCGGTGAGTCCTGATAGATTTTAGATTCTAATATCTTTATTCGATATAGAAGCATAACACATACTTATTGTTGGACCATATCCTTTTCGAGGTAGTAAACAATATGGTTGGGATGTTTTAAACGCGGTGATCGTTGAACGGTCACAAATCAGGTGCATAGCGATAATAATAGGCTTTATTTATATCCCAAGGCGGGTTTTGTGGCTAAATAAGCTAAGTGAAGAATACTTGTTCTTTATTATCTCTACCTCGTTTGTTTATAGTACCATTACCTGATATGGTTTCTAAAAATTTTTATGTTGACTAGGCTAAATTCAAATACGCACCATCTGTATTGAATACAGTAGTATTACTCATGTCGAATACTACTAAAGATTCGAAAAAATATTACTTCCCTGACCGAGCGAAGAACCGGCGAAAGAATATCGGCGGGACAATTTTTTCTACTACCAATTGGCAAAGAAACATGATTAGTTACATATTAAAGCTCACTGAAATCCGTACGTCGGATGTTTTAGGTTTGTAATTTATATGATGACTTCATATAGTTGCCTCACCTTATCACTCATACAGTCATTTTAAGGAATTATAATCTCCCGAAAAACGTCAGAACTTTTATCGTTTCGTTTAAATTATTTTTAGTTTGTCGAATATTGCCTAACGTTATTTCGAAATATCATCGCATTCGGAACGATTACTAGCAATTTTTCGTTATTAGTATTTTATCGAAGATTTCGGCCAAGTAAATATAACAAATGTTACTTGATTGTTTCTCGAACCCCAGAATTTACGTTGTAAAAATTTGTTTCATGGTGATTGGAATGTTCACGGTTAAATAATCGAATGTGATGCTTTGCTGATGCTCCTATCACGACAGCGCGATTTTCAACGCATTTCTTGCCCCGCACAAACGCCGGCGGTCTTTCCGAACCGTTACGACCTGGGAACCTTCAAGAAGAGAGCGTACTCTTTCTTAAAAGGCCGGCAACGCATTTGGCTCACAGTTCGGGTGTTGCAGGTGTTCATGGGCGGCGATGATCGCTTACCATCGGGTGAGCCTCCTGCTCGTTTGCCCCTTTTCTCCATAAACGAACACTAATTTATGTACAAAATTGCAACAGCCTTCCTTACATGTTGTTTTAGACAACATGACCATGCTCACTAACTCCTACAACCATCATAAAAGGTGAACCGTGATATATTTGTCTATCGTCACGCTTTTATATCGAACTGACTGAAGCTTCACTAATAATATATAAAAATATTTGATATTAAAAAATTTTACCACTGGCTGAATTGTAGGCGTTAAACACCCTTAACAATTTACTCTAATTACGTTGATGTCGAGGAAGGGCTGTGAGGAATGACTCAGTTTCCGGACGCTCGCTTTAATTCACTACACTCGAGCAACCCGAGTTCAAACCCCGGCGCCAGTACCAATGAAATTGTTAATTTTAAGTGCTGTCTTATCACGTGCTCGCCGGTGAAGGAAAACATCGTGAGGAAACTTGCATATTTTCGAAATAAAACATATTTCAAAGACCCGTGAAGTCCGCCAATTCGCAGTGATGCACTATGCCCTAATACCCTCAGTACAGTCGAGGCCTTTGCCCAGCTGTGGGACATATATAGGCTTTTGCTTTACTTTAACGTTTATGTGTATCGTATCATTTTCAGTGGCGGCAAAATGACCGAGGCACCTATAGTGAAGGTGGAGCAGGGCGCGCTGCAAGGCCGCGTCGCAAACAGCCCTTCGGGGAGGGCTTTCTACAGTTTTCAGGGGGTGCCCTACGCAAAACCACCCCTGGGCTCGCTTCGGTTTAAAGTAAGTAAACTATTTAACATGTGTAATAAGATTTAGTCATTACTTATTAATTGTCCAAAACCATGAAATCAAGTATAGGGAAATATGATTTTATCCTCCCCCCCCCCCCCCATCTCTATGCAAAATAAAGGAGGGTAATAATAAAATGACTTTTTTCTTTGTTGTTTTTATTTTTTCTTTTCTAACCGTATTTCACATCGCGTATTGCGCAATGTTTCAACCAATCGGCGAGATGCACGAGAGGCTTATACAGTTTATCGCACGTGACATGGCATCGAGATGTTTGCAGAGATTAAACGCTATCTACATTTGATGATATTTGATATGGACATGGCGTTTTGCAGTGTTCGACGCGAATCATCCTGCCTCGCTGCTAAGCCCAGATGATAGTTACCTCGTGACAGTTTATGAGACATGTTAGAAAGTATTTTTCTACCTCTGTCCTTTACCTATTTTCTTTCTGTCTATAATGTCAGTAACTTGAATTTTTAACTCAATTGTTACCGCTACTGCTTATTAGTTTTATTAAACGTAAAACAAATAGTGAAAAGACAATTTTGCTTAGTAGATACGAAAGAATAGACAATTACTGGGTTTAGTATGAGTATGACAACTACGCTGAGTAGCCTTTTTTACAAAGAGTTCACGCAAATACACCAACACAACATTTCACTAACATAAGAGTGCCCAAAATTGACTTGTACATTTTCCATTGCAACGTCAATTGTCCCTCGTTCCAGGCCCCGCAGCCGCCGGAGCCCTGGGACGATGTCCGCGACGCCACATCCGAAGGCAACATCTGCGCGCAGATCGACCCCATCACCAAGGGCTACGCAGGCGACGAGAACTGCCTCTTCCTCAACATATACACGCCGGACCTGGAGGGGCATTCCCTGCCTGTGATGGTGTTCATCCACGGCGGCGGCTTCCTGTTCGGATCGGGCAGCGCGACGATGTACGGCGGGGACTACCTGGTGGAGAGGGACGTGGTGGTGGTGACGGCGAACTACAGGTGCGGCGCGCTCGGCTTCCTCGCCCTGGACACGCCCGAGGTGCCCGGCAACGCGGGCCTGAAGGACATGGCGCTGGCTCTGCGCTGGGTCCAGAGCAACATCGGCAACTTCGCCGCGGGGACCCGGCCAACGTGACGGTCTTCGGCGAGAGCTGCGGCGGCGTGGCCGTCTGCCTCCTCACGGCCAGTCCGCTCACGAGGAACCTGATCAGCAAGGCGATCATCCAGTCCGGCACGGCGCTGAGCAGCTGGGCGCTGCAGACGCAGCCGCTGGAGCATGCGCGGACTCTGGCTGGCTCACTCGGCTGCGAGGCGAACAGCGTCGACGAAATCCTCGAATTCCTCTCGACCACCCCCGTAAAGGACATAGTCGAGGCGACGAGCCAACTGCAGACCGTGGAGCGCTTCTACGAGCAGGGCTCCAACTATTTCGCGCCGGTCGTAGAGAAGGAGTTCCCTGGCGTGGAGGCGGCGTTGACGGAGTCCTTCATAGGGCTGCTGACGTCCGGCCGGCTGGCCGACATACCCGTCATGATAGGCTCGACCGCGCTCGAATTCGCTAAAGAGAGACAGGGCGATCTGCAAGCGTACATTCCGCGGGAGCTGCACCTGAAGAGGGACAGCGAGGAGTCGCTGGCGGTCGCGGAGGGCATCGAGAGGGTGTACTTCAAGGGCGCTGAAGACAACGCGCTGGAGAGGCAGCGGCTGCTCTCCGACGTGCTGGTCAACGTGGACACGCACAGATACGTCCAGTACCTGGTGAAGGCGACCAACAGGCCGATATACTACTACAAGTTCGACTACGTCGGCGCGCTGAATCTGTCGAAGCGGCTGGGCGACGGCCAGGAATCGGAGTATGCAGCGCACCTGGACGAGCTGGGCTACCTCTTCAAGAACGACTATCAGAAGGATGTAGAGCCCACGGCGCAGGATGTCAAGATGCGCGAGCGGATGCTGAGGCTCTGGACCAACTTCGCCAAAATTGGGTATGCTGTTTTTTCTATGTGAGAGGTGTCAAGTGAGCTGGCGGTTCACCTGATGTTGAGTGATAACCGCCGCCCATTGACATTTGCATCACCCGTAGGGTTGCAGATGCCGCCACCATGTAAAGTTGGCTTCTGTTATTCACTTTCGGCTACTTAACTCACCAAAACGCAGAAATGTTTCTTTCACTTCACTTCGTGTCGGTCTTCTGTGTATTCGTGGTACTAACCGAGACGCAGTTGTCCATTCGTGCAACAGCTGTTGCGTGAGGAACTAGCCCTGGTGATAAGTGATCATTGTCATCAGCTTTTGGACATCCCTGGTGCGTTGCCAACCCTTAAGACGTGTGCTGCTCGTTACCTCACTGACCGAACGAATCTCAAAATTATTGGTTACTTCTACTTTTATCCCCTCTTGAGTTAGTTCTCCGGTTACAAGCATCATGAGTAGTTGTAGCTTTTAGCATTCCATTTTAACAGTTAAAACCTTCATTATTTATAATATCTAATTTTTCCTTAAATTTTATTTCCCTTGTATTGGAACAGAGAGCTGATGTTTTATTTGCTGGTTTGTTGGATAAGCTGCTCATTTTAGGATATGTTTTTTTTTAAATCATTATTAACACCATTGATTTCTAAAACAAAACGCGTTCCATTGAATTTGCGATATCCCGGATTTTTACCCCGATTAAACCAAGTGTTGTTACCATTTGATAAGTAACTTCAGCGCTTATATTGATTTCTGCATCTTGCATCTCTCCAGGAACCCGACGCCCGACGAGAACCATTACTTGAAGGTGACCTGGCTCCCCGTCACCAAGGACAAGCTCTACTACCTGAAACTGGGCGGCGAACTCTCGCTGGAGACCAGCCCCGACAAGGAGAGGATGGACTTCTGGGACGAGGTCTACGAGAAGCACTTCAAGATCTGGGACCAGCCGCGGATCAGCGCAGAGGCGCAGACGAGGGTCGAGGTCGTCGACTTCGTCAAGCACGAGACCTCATCTTCCACTGTGGAGACGAAGGAGACGTTGATCGAGACCTTCGAGCAGATCGTGGTCTCGAGCGAAGACTCACCCTCGGAGCAGCCGGAGCCGGTGCCGGAGCTGCCAGCCGCGCCAGAGCCGCAGTCCCCTCCAGAGCTGCCAGCCGCGCCAGAGCCGCAGTCCCCTCCAGAGCTGCCAGACGCGCCAGAGCCGCCAACCGTGCCAGAACTGCCAGCCGTGCCGGAGCCAGTGGCGGCGGTGCCGGCCTCCAACGGCGTGAAGGAGCCCCACGTGAACGGCCTGGAGCAGAAGAAGCCTCGGACCTCCAACGAGATAAAGATGGTGCAGCAGAGCAACGGCCACCCCAAAGACGTGATCAGGGCCAACGACCCCCCAGAAGACGACCTGCCCAAGAACATAGGCGTGAACAAGTTCGTCAACTTCTTCGAATCGCTCGGCGGCAAGAAGTGATCCAGCCGACTGCAGACGCCATCGCAGTCCCACAGTATTTATGTACGGATGGAAACATTCCTGTATCGTTTAAGCTATTGTATATTTTCGTCGATGATTTAGCGCGATGCGCCTCGCTCGGTTTCGTCAAGGCCATATTATATGTACGATATATATTGGTTATTGTAAATTTTAATCGGTTCGCGACTGACCAGATTTGTTTGTAGTACTATGTGGAAATTTAAACGCAAATATTTAGTGATGTTTAGTGCCTTATTATTGTATAGTCATCACGGACTTAAAGCGCAACTCTGAGCATTTGCTATTTCTTATGATTACGCACGACCATCATTGATTTGAATTATTTGAAAGCGTACAGCCGTTTTGATTTTGTATAGATACCGTGACGTATTTGCGAATGTCCGTTTGTTTAACGTTTGCGTTGTCTTAAAGCAATATGGTATGTTATTTGTAAGTGTAGATACCCCGTGCCAATAATGAAACTAGTTGTAATTAATTTCATTCTAATTACTGCGTAGTGAATAATGAATATATTTTTATATAATTATAAACGATTCAAAATAAATCATGTAAAAGCTCAAGCGGTGTTTTTGAATTCAAGATTGGCTAGTTTTTTGATAAGTATTGTGACTTAGATAGATACATAGAAAGTAAGAAAGAAAAAATATTTATTTGGTACATGAATACAATAATTTCGTTACAAAAATATATAAATCAATCCTAAATATGTATAATAATACCAAAAAGGTTTCACTCAGCGTTACATTCACGTAGTTTAAAATACAGTGGAACCGAGTGGAAGGAGATAGATGCCGATACCGTTAGCTTACTCAACAACTTTACAAGTAATAGACCTTAAAAGTATCAAACACTAAAAATATTAACAAAAACAAGGTAAAATGTTTACATGTTTTTAGCACTATTCCAAAAATAAATGTACAATCAAAATCAGATTAACTAGGCATAGTTATAACAATCATAATAAAAAACAAAGGTACACGTATTTATGTGTATGCGTGTGTGTGTGGGCCTTTCTAAATAGTAAAGTAACAAAAGCCTATATAGAATAATACGAGCTGAATTTGTATTTTATGCCACACTGGTAGCAGACCTATGTCCCACTGCCGGGCACATCACATCGCCGTACAAACCTTTTTTATCTGCCTTAGAGTCCTTTCGCGTCAAGAAAAAAGCGAGTATTCAGTGTGACTGCAGGGTTAATGTGTATTTACAATGGAGTAAACAATTAATATTTAAAAAAGGTTTAATAAATAATAAAAAATTATATAAAATTAAAACTAATTCATAAATAATAATAATAATACCCGTTAATATGTATCACAAAAATCATGCTTAGTATTTATTGTTAAAGAATTTTGTTCTGCGAGTTCCATGACATGGTCGAAATTCCACATAGCATTTTCTTCTCGTATCACTTGGTCGCGGACTTCTTCCGGCGATCAGCGTCTATTAAATTAATGGCGTTATAGAATATTTTTTTCCATCACCCGTCTTGATTTATTGGTAGAAACATAATTTTTATTTTGCTAACCTTCAACCGGTCACTGTGAACTTGACTTTATAAAATCAAAAATATATTTATTCAAATAGACGCTTGCGCGCTCTTATGAATCATCAAATACATCAAAAATGATGTATATAGGTTCGTAAGGTACCACCGGTTCGGAAAGCAGTTTCTGTTGAGAAGAGACCGGCAAGAAACTCAACAGTTGCTCTTTTTTAAAAGTATCAATTTACAATGTAATAAACAGGTATAATAGGCTTATTCTAGCCTACGTGAGTATCAACAGTATTAACTCCACACATTGGCATCGTCGATATATTCCGCAATGGTATAATATGCTTTAATCATTAGTTGATTTTTAATTTTACATTTAAATTGGTCAAGCGGCAGACTTAATATCGACTGTAGGATTTTATTATACATGCGCACACTTTGCCCCATGAACGACCTATTTACTTTTTGTAGACGAAACAATGGCGTAGTAAGTTTCTTCTTATTTCTAGTGTTTATTTTATGTCTGTCACTATTCTTTAGGTAATAATTAAGGTTATGACGTGTATACAAAGTAGTACCTGGACCGAGCTTTGCTCGGTTTTTTTTGGTAAATCGTGTGTTTTGGAAATAAAAAATAAAGCAATGATCTGGTATAGAAAAAAAAGGAAAAAAAAATAAGTGCGTAAATGATCGTGATACGAACCGCGACCGTCTGTTTTTGGGTCGCCCGATTACTGACCGAGCTATTATAACAATTTTTTGCGGCGAAATTTACCGTCATATTCGAATGATATTTTTCATCAGTCATTATTTTTTAAAGCGAACGGACTGTATTAACCAGGCTTAATAAAAGTATTAACAAATTAAAGTCTTAAGCCGTAAATAATCAGGACATGATGTACCTAATTAACACATACCCTTGTAAACACAAAGGAGTCTGAATATTGTAAAATTTTATTAGGTCACACTAGTTTACTATAACTATTACGTTGACCTGCTACCTAAAATCGTAGCGGGAGCTGCTGGCGGACTTCAGCTTTAAGTCTTCACGTGAACATTTGCCGTCGACAAGAATAATCAAGAAACCTTGTCAGCATTAGCCATTCATGTCCCAATTCAAAGCTATAATATGTATATATATATAAAGTTTTATAGCGTGTATGTATATATATACATAATACGCTATAAAACTCGGATCCCTGATTCATGTACTAAGGACCAGAGAAAAATAAACAAATGTACGAATATTTAATACTCATTTAACATTTTTTTTTTCATCGAGAACCAAATTGTATAATTCCCAAATTGTTTAAGTTTTGCTGTTGCATAAAAACCACCTCTGGGTAAGTAATATTGCCTCACATAAGAACGCCGTGAAACGCCGATTATTTAACATCAGGTGAACCGCTTGCTAACCTGCTACCACCTCACGTAAAAAAGAAGAAAATTTTAACAGTCTTTCCTTAACTTCAACCGTGCCCCAGGGGAAATACCACTGAACAGATGAGGTTGAAAAGGAAATAATTCTTAATTTGAATTAAAACAGGGGTCGCCGTTCGTCTCCCACATTTTAGCTCCTTTACGCGAACGAAAACAAAACGTAAGAGTATTTCTAGCAGCAGTATACCTACACACTTAGAACACCAGATTAACTGATACTAGCGCAATTACTATGAAAGCCGGTGTACTCATGCGGATAAAGCTACTAATTTCTTATTTTCATTACGGCTTCCAAAGTTCGCAAGTTTAAATATTTATTATTACTGCCCTTTATTAACTTTAAAAAAATTTATTGTTATTTATATAAAATCCTGCGAACTGTGTCTATATGGATTATTTGCCATGAATGTATCGTAACAATAATATAGCACAAGCTGTCTTTTGAATTTTACGTAGGCATATTCTCATTTCTCAAAAAAAGAAATTTCTTGCATACAATATAAGGTCTTCTATTTTTTTAATAATAATTTTCCTTTGTTATTTTTGCTTCTTAATCATTTACGTAAGTAGTCTTTGGTGTGAATTAAATATGGTAATTTCCTTTTGTAAGTACGATGCATTTGAAATTTACCTTAAGTTTTACTTTAAAAAAAAACTTTTCTGTCCGCTTGATCCAGTGCTCCTTGTATATTAGGTTCCTTGGGAAGCCTAAAACGAAATATATATTTGAAATTTAGACCTGCCCAGCACTATCCATACGAGATGGTAGGCTTTTTTTTTTTTTCATTTTATACGTAATAATATGTGAATACGTTAAGTAACAGCCTATACATGTCCTACTGCTGGGCAAAGGCCTCCTCTGTACAGAGGGTATCAGGGCATAGACCACCACGCGGCCCCACTGCGGATTGGCGACTTCACATATCTTCGAAATATATACTTTTTGTTATTTCGAAAATATGCAGGTTTCCTCACGATGTTCCTTCACCGCGGAACATGTGATAAGCCAGTAATTAAAATAAACAATTTCATTGGTGTCAGCACCGGGCATCAAACTCAGGTTGCTCGAGTATATTGAATTAAAGTCGAGCGCCCGGACTGAGCTGTCACGGCTCTATCACGGTGAATACGTATTTTGAGATAATTTTAGCAGAGTTCTTTACACAAATGCACTCTGAAGACGGCTGAAAAAAAGAGCGCGTAATTTGGATGAAGAATCATGGGCCATATTTCCATTCCAAACTCTATTCCGTGGGATATACTTTACCTGTGTCGTGTGTTGCAAAAATGTCTTCGTGTCGCGGATGAATCTTCGCGCTGAAAGTAAAATGACAGCTTTCGCCGTTTGACGTTCGTACCAAGAAACAGGGAAACGTTTTTTTTTTTATTTTGGCGGTTGCATTATTTTTTTACAGCCATTTTTTTTACAAAAAAAAAAACTAACTCAAATCACAAGCCACTTTTTTCTTGTGTTACAATCGTTTCTTTCGTGAAAACGAGCAACCGCCATTGAAAAAATATGCACTGACTTCAAAAAATATCTTTTGCCGCCGCTCGTGTCTCTCTTTTTTTTTTGCAAAAGCGGCCTTACAGTTCTTTTTTTTTCAACCTTTTTTTTTTACAAGATTTACAACTAAGTCAGTAACACACCAAGCTATGTCTAAATATAATGTACAAATGCCTTAACTATATGAAAAACTCGGCGATAATATAATTTATATACAACGAGGGCTCTTTTCAACTGCGCCAAATACGCTGGGCCTCGTATATTTAAACGATAAACGATATCAACTTTTATTGGCGTTCAATTACATTAAACACAATTCCAACGTAGCCAAGCGTTTTGATTCAGTCGGAAAACATCAATGAACCCCCGCATCGAATTGTCTAATTTTTCAGAAACAAAATAAAACTGTAAATAAATTAAAACTAAGCGTTCGCATCCTCTTAACAAACTCAAAAACAACGTACAACATCAGTAAAGTTATTACAATATCGAGTCTAATAAATCCTCTTCAGACCGAAATCGTTAAAACTG